AAAAAAAAACGTCAGATATATGATTCAATGTTTTATACATAACTATAAAGTGAGGAAATAATTTTCAATCGGCTTAAATTCTTGAAAGTTTAACCACTTGGTCGCTATCTGTACTAGCCACATACAAATTTAGATCCGAATCAAACGCAAGAGCCACTGGTTTCTTGAGTGAAGGTCCAGAATTATTATCTTCAGCAACAACAATACCAACTGTTGAATTAACACAATACATAACTACTCGATCATTATCTCTATCAGCAACATATAAATTACCATACGGATCTAAAACTATGCCTGTTGGATTGTTAAGACTATTATGTTGACTGTCATTGACTGTTTGAAGACTCATACTTTCACTAGACGCACCAAATGTCCATACATGTATTTCATTAGAACCCTGATCACACAGATAGACTTGATTCGATGAATATGGCATGCGAATCATGCCATAGACATTATTCAAACTACTATCACTGATCAGAAGAGTACCCATTATTGCATTTGGAACCCATTTTACCAATCGTGTATTCCCCATATCAAGAATATAAATATTTAAATTATTGTCAATATAAATGGCTGTTGGTTCGTCTAAATCAGTCAATGCACTTGAATGACTGCCAATCGTTCCAGCAACAGTCGTGCCGTTAATAGAGCCTAGAGCAAACTTTTGTACGCGGTTATTGCCATTATCAACGACATTCATAAATCCATTTGTATCAAAAGTAAGAGCTATAGGAGAATTCAGTAATATGGATGTTGAACCTGAAGTACCTGTACTACTTCCGGCCATTGTCGCACCTATTGGAGCACCTTGAACCCATTTCTGAACACGGTTGTTACCATAATCACAAATATATAGGGTATTATTATTGTCGATGTATAAGCAACTTGGATTCTTTAGTTGATTCGCATTTGAACCTGATGTTGTTCCAGCAACGATTTGACCTGTTTGATTCCAACGTAAATTTTTACCTTAAATAATGTATAAAAATCTCTACATCTTATCATTTTTTATATAAAACAACTAACAAGAATTATATGGTGTTGTAGTTGTTGTTGCTAAATAAAAACAAATTAAAATTATTAATAAATCTTCGTGTATTTTGAGTATATGGATGTGGCTGATATATCAATCCTCCGTTCTTACCCATGCCTTCAAGATGAAATATTCGATGCTTTATTATAATTAAAAAAACTGCTATCATATAGCATTATTAAAAATTTATCGTGACTAGTCGTGATCCGATTCTGCAGGAATAATAACAATGCTACTCCTTTAATTTATGATTATAAATATAAATAAAATATACATAGAAAATGTAATGAACATTAATATCTGTAGATTTTCGTTTCAGTATATGTTTGATTATTTAATATGAGATAAAGAGAATATTTTTACTTACTTATTGTTGATGTACTCGTGCTTGAACTACTTGTAGAACTGCTTGTTGATGAACTTGTACTGGTTGTAGAACTGCTTGTTGATGTACTTGTGCTTGAACTAGTTGAAGTTGTTGCTTAAATAAAATCAAAATTTTTAATAAGCCTCCGTGCATTTTGAAATAAATCTGACAGAGAAATTAAATTAAAAAAAAACAAGTGCTGGTGTGAAAAAATAAACTAATTAAATAGAAAACAGCACAAAAATCTTTTAATAACTTATTTATATTATCTACCATCTTTTTCTGACGAGTCATTTATTTAAATTTATTGAACGGCCATTTTAAAAATAGAAAAACGCCTTGTTCTTTTCTCGAGTACTGTCAGAGATTTTTTTAAACATATAAAAGATAATATATTAAATTTTGTTTAATAACTTTTAGATTAAAATATATTTCTTTTCTCAATTTATAATAAATGTTTTTTTCCAAGTGATCACTCTGATACTTTTTTTAATCATATATCGTGGTTTAATTAACAATTTACTATAATTTTTCTTGAGTAATGTTGTGCCTTCATCAATACGTATTTTTATTCATTCCTTTTTTATTTTGTAAAAGTGAGATGTTTATCGATATTTTCTACGAAAAAATATAAACGTAATGTAACGTGTTCAGTTCTCTGATTTAGTCTCTTAGTAATTTTTCATTAACTTTGTATCTAATTAAGATAAATGTACTAGAACGCTACTGATCAGAATATAAAGCTATGAGTACTCTCTTGGCGAGTACATTGACTAGACGCGAGATTAATATATCGAATTCTATTATCATTCATTTGATAAATGACTAGTTTAGCTTAAATAGAGGAGAGACTTTCTTAAGAATAAATTATCTCATCGTTCCAACGCTTTTCATATACCTTGAATTGTATCTAAAGAAAATAAAAACTCACTGGGCGAAGTGCTCGCTGTTGTAACATCACTAACTGGCAGTTGAAAAAAGTAAAATGAACTTGCTGAATAATTCATTAGTGAGAATGATCTCGCGTTAGAAGATGTTGAGAACATTTGACATGTCTCATTATTCTGGAAACAGTTCAAGAATGAAAACGATGTTGTATTTAACATCATTGCACACAGGCATTCATTGCAAGTACCATTAATTGATTTTGAATTAGGATCGAACATCAACAAAGAAACATTTTGAATCACACCAATGGAAACGAGGCTAGTGGAAATAATTTCGAAATGTTGAAAAAGTAAAATGTAAAGGAATAATTTCCACATTTTATTGTGACAGTGAGTGAAAAATGAGTAGAAGTACAATACATCAATCGATTATTAAAAAGTCTCAGTTTGTTTAGAAATCAGTTTGCCGATAAAAAGCAAACTGATCCGGTCGTTTATTTTCCTGAAAGAAAAGGTGTTGTTCAAATATTTTATATAAGTCGAGAATCGAACGATCGACCGGCAATGTGTATGAATAAATTAGTAAGAAAAAAAATCGAATTGCTATATTGTTTTTTTCTTGTCGTTGATTAGATGTTAGTCAAATAAGTTTTGTTTATAGAAAAACAACAATTATTTCATTTTCCGGAAAAAAAATTAAAGATTTTTTTCTCGTCGCACTGTGAACGAAGAATTCACTCAAAAACATTTCTTCTAATGTAAACAAAAAAAATTGCTTGTTTATTTTCAGATGCATTTTTCATATGTTCAACCCCAGAGCTAAGAATTCATACCCATCACGAGGATGTGGGTGTTGTATGGATATTTAGTTTATTGCACACTCACATACTCAAGATATAAAACTTCTCTCAGTTTCAGTTCACTTCAAATTTTGAAAAACCTGAACAGTGTCCATCTCTCTTGCATACTGCGTCGTTGAGTTCACTAGAAAAGGTATTGTATGCAATATCTGGATGTTACAGTATCACATTAGCAGACTATTTGATATATTCAAAGAAATCAATACACAAGACGAATAGATGTCACATTAATTTATAGAGATTTTATGTATAATGAGAAGTAGTTGATAGTGATGCCAACAAATGACTGACAAGTCTGACATCTTGAAAACTTAAGTGGTAACCGTAAAACCGAATCTTCACCGTAAAAGATGGATTAAGTTGTATAAATCTGTTTTTTCTTTTTGTGAATATATAGATTATGATAATGTGGAAATTACAGTATAATAAGCAGTATCTGATAGTGATCAGGTTAAAATTAGTCGAAGATCAAGCGAGTTTCCCCGAAGAGCGCTATTTGTTTTATTTCTTTCCCAACTGATGAGCGTTACTTGTATTAAAATGTGATTCACTTTTTTTTCTTTCATTCACATTAAAATATTTTACAAATATACACTTCACTTAATATAGTTCAGATATACATAAAATAATTAAAAAAGAAAAAGAAAAAAAGTCGTGTCAATCATATTACAAAAAGAAAATATTTGTATATTATAATAATAAATAAAAGTCTTTTCCACAGCTTATATCTTCTGAATTAGCATCAAATGAATTAAATACTATTTTTACTATCGAATTTTCATTAGACTTATATCAGATGTGAATATGTTATATTATCTATACAAAATGTGTGTATTTTGTTAATATTAAATTTACAAATAATATTTTATATATGATTCAACAGAAACTGAGTCATAAATAAGTAAGAAAAAAAAAACATGATGAAATAGAATCAATATTCTTTCGCCGATATTTCAATGACACAATGCCAATGTAATTGCGAAATATTTTACAAAATAGAAGCGTCATCAGTTAAAACGTGGCACACGTTATAACAGTATATAAATATAGATAGATAATTCCATTAACATTAAGTACTATTAATATTACAAAATGACAATAGATTCAACATTATCATCAACTACAAATCCAAAACCAATCATTGCTCTTGATTGTGATGGAGTTCTTCTAGATTATCATGCAACTTTTGCACAAATTTATGAGCAAACGTTTGGGAAAAAATTAACAATTGTTTCACCAAATGCTCATTATGTAAGTTTTATTCAAATTTCTATAAGAAAAAAATACTAATTAACTATACACATACATAGGCTGAAAGAAAATATAATGTCAATTTTAATGATGAAGAAAAAGAAGAATTTAAACAAGTATGGAATGAATATGGTTGGAGAAGTATGCCAATGCATGATGGAGCATTAGAAGCATGTCTTTTATTACATGAAGCTGGCTATGAACTAATTTGTGTTACAGCAATGTCTTCCGATTTTATTGAACATCGATTAGAAAATTTTCGTTTACATGGATTTCCCATTGATAAAATCATTAGTTCTGGTTATGATAAAGACAACTTTAATAATAATCCAAAAAGAAAAACTATTGAAGATTTAAATCCAGTTGTATTTGTGGATGATTTAAGAAGAAATTTTAATAATATTCAATGTGTTCATACAAAACTTATTTTTATTGATCATGAACGTGAAGATGATCCAAATGAACATGATAATATTTATTATGATGCCAAATATGGAAGTCTTTTAGAATTTGTTACAGATTTTCTAAAAACAAAACAACATGGAGAAGATATAAACTGGTCACAAAGACCATGTCATCTTATTCCTTTTAGTTAATTTTCCAACTTTTTTTTTGTTTCAATAAGGGTGTTGGTGTGGTTGATAATAAAATGAACATATACACCCACTCTTCTTTTCTTTTTATTTAAATTTATTTTTCTCATGTTGAATTAATCTTTACATGAATAAAACTCATTTTTACTCATCAAAGGATTTAGATGTCGATTCGTTCGAATCTCGTCGCTTTCATATATATATTTTTCAATATCACATGCTAGATATTACCTCATCAGATTAGTTATTCTCTCTTATTTAAAACTAAAACTATCGATTAACCCTTAATTATCTTTCCTTCTAGTAAATGGTATTATACAAGATTTGATTGATAAGAAATATGTACATATAAATACAATAAAAGATAGTAAAACGTATTATTTGTTTATTTTGATCATGAAATATTTTAGATTTTTTACTTTGTTTAATATATATTTTCGATATTTAATTCAAAAATAAAAGATCAAAATAATATGGTTTTATATTATAGCGTAAAATAAACTTTATTTTATTTAGTAAGATTTTCTTTATTGATTTTTTACAAGAAGATTAATATGAAAACTAAATAAGATAGAAACTAAACATTTTACACAAGCAGAGTAATATACAAGAATAGTATAATAAGAGATTGTTAAATATATAATTAGTAAAATAGTTTTTAGTTAAGTGTAAGAATTATGAACAAACCAAGGAATCACACATTTCTTGTCAATAATGAAAATGAAAATATAAGTTATTCTTCTCTATTACGTTTTATTATACACTCAGTAAAATATCGGCTGCACTTGTTCCATTATTATTACCAGCGTCATTGGAAAGCCAAAAAGAGACGTTATATGATTGACCAATGACTGTTGTAAATGTTTGACTAAGATAATCATTATATCCTACAACCCCATCACAATAAAAATACGATCCAGATTTGGGTACAAGTGTTAAAGAAATACAAAGTAAACTGTTAAAAACTTCTCCAGCTCCGGGAACTGAAGCACCACCTGGATTGCAATATGTCCATGATGAAAGATTTCCTGTTTCAAAGCCATTATTAGAGATCAATTCAACAGATGGTGCTGCAGTACTTCGTACAGATACGTTATCGATTGCAAAACAACCAACATCTTCACGAAGAACTAACGAAATTCGAGTTAAATTAACAATGGCTACATAAGTATATGAATAGTATGCATTTGGGTATATTGTCGGACAAGTAGTGCAATGATAGAGTATAGTAACACCAGTCCAACCGGATGTACATGTATTCGATGTAATTGCTTTACAAGAGAACATATATGTTAAAATATTATTCGCCGTAAAATAATTACTTACAAGCAGTTGCTGCAGTCGTTGTAGTTGTCTCTGTAGTCGCTAAAGATTAAAATATAAGAATTTTGAAGAATTAAGTCTACTAATATACATATTTATATAGATATAGGGTGTGGGTATGGATACTGTATTCGCCTAGCATCCACATCTACACCCATCCAGTTTCTTCAAATTACACACATCACTTACTAGTTGATGTACTGGTGCTTGTTGTACTCGTACTCGTACTTGTGCTTGTACTTGTGCTTGTCGTACTTGTACTTGTTATACCCATTGTTGATGCTATTTTAGAATAAAGTCATGTAAAGAAGTGTATTCAGAAACACTAAAACGTCTGCTTATATAAATATTTGAATAAATAAATATAAATCTATTCCTAACTATATCTGAATCTACAAGACTATATATATACAAGTATATGTATATGTATATATTTATATGAGTGTTTATTTTCGAAGTGATATTGTGCATTCGATATCCATGTATATTCGCAAAAATTTGAGTTTTTGGATAGAACTAACTGCATTTATACATAAAATCCTAATGAACATTTTCTAATGTCATATAGTGACGAAAATGAGATTACTGATGAACTATTCTTTCAAACAACTACTATTCACAATGACAATAGGAGAATGATATACGCAATATTTTCTATTCAAAATTAACTTATAATAGTTTTTCTGTAATTACTGGTGATCTTTTAATTAATTTAAAAAAAGTCAATAATTATCATTTGTATTTCATCATTGGTTGTTATTCAACCAAAAACTGTACTCAGTTATCTTTTTATTCCATTTGATGAACAAAAAGACAAAATAATTAACATTAAAACAATAATTTTAATTAGTACATACCTAATGTTTCCGTTGCAGTTGTTTTTGATGTCAACCAGAATGTGAGCACAATAGCTAAACCTATTCCAGCTAGTAATAATCCAACAAAACAGCATTTAAAAAACGAAGTCCACGCAAAGGATGTCTTCTTTTGATGAATTCTGTCATTAAAATATAAGATAAATAAACATCTTGAAATCGATATTGCACTTACCGATTAATGTCATCATCGTCTGCCCAAGCATTCCGATTGATCAATGAATGACTTGCATGTGCGGTCGATGCTAGACCGGATGGCGAATCAAAGGACTGTCGGTACTTCATTATGTATAATGTTAGTGGATTGGCAGCTGATTTCGATCCAAATTGAATAAGGTAAATATATGTATATATGTATGTTTTATATAATAAAAATAATTGAAAATGAGCCCATATCCACGGCTTCGGACATATAATGTAAATTTCATCCTTTGAGTAAACACAATTCATCATTTTAATCAGAGTTTGAACTCGAGAATAGGAAAAAAATGCAACAGAATGCGTGTTTGATTGAAAAATTCATTGTTTATTAGAGATGAATGACTTGTGTGTTACAACTGGAAAAAAGCAAGGCAAGACGAAACAGTTATGTTATATCAATTCAATTCAAAAGTCGATAGCCAGCCAGTTAGAGTTCAGAATTTCTAACAATTTTAACTTTCTTAGTTTTGTTAAATATAAGTTCTTGAAATACTATCAAACGAAATAGTAATAGTTATGAATAAATCGTTTTTGAATTTAACATCTCTAGATTTCTTGTAAATTAATTCTTTGACTATATACGAACGATTAATTGTATTCTTTTATTGAACACGTCAATTATCTAATACAACCAAAAAAAATTGAAGGGTATGCTTTCATGTTTTTGCTTCAGTGTTTCATTTCTTTTCGTCTTATTTCGACATTAATATTTACAACAAAATCTTTTTATTTGATTAATGTTGCTCATGAGTTAAAAAACTTACATTCAAATTTTATCATCAATGATACAATAAATTCATATGATAAACCTATAATAAGATCATCAGACATTAAACCATGTGAACTGTATTCGCTTCGATTAGATTTTGATTATTTGAATTTTCTTGCAAATAATTATTTTTCAGATTCAATAAAAAATTTCTATATTGATGAGAAAAAAACGAATTGTTTGTCTTTGATGTTTTCTTTTATACATTTGAAACAATATTTGAATATATAATAATAAGTTTTCATTTTATTTCATCCTACTCCATATGAGAAAATCTATTGATAAAAGTAATAGAGATTTTTTTGTTATTAATGACTAATTATTGTATTATAAACTGAATAATACCTAAATCTAATTTTCAATTATGAAGAGGGTTGAATATTCAATAAACTATCTTGAGAGTGTGAATGAGGATGAGTTAGAGTGGAAAAATTACCCACCGACACCCACCCTCATCATCAAGTTGAATTAGACATAGAATTGATGAGTTATATATGTACAAAGCCAGATGTAATATTACAGTCATTCTACTATAATAGGAATTTTTGAGTACAGTTCACTATAATTTCATGATAAAGTAGAAAATACAGCTGGTAGTTTTTTAAAACAATATTATTTGATTATTTGAAGAAAAATGCTTCATTCTACACTCAACATGTTTTATTCAAGAAAATCTGCAGACTGTTTATTGATATACCTCTTTGGTATAACAAAAAGTAAAAATAGAACAATGTGCATTATTATTGTGCAAGCATAAAAATAAACTTATCAAAGGTCTACTTCTCTTCATAGCGGAAATGGTATGTTGTGTAAAGTTTGATTGCACTAGATCTTACAAGAATCAAATGCATAAAGAACAAGCAAATAAATTTTCTACTTTATTATTACAAAACCATTTTGTAACTGAATTGATAAAATGAGAAGAATAATATTTTCCTTATCCACTAGGTCATTTTATTTTAAAAAACTAGCTATTCATATCCATCCTATCTTAGGTACACATAGAAGTGAGAGATAGATGAACAAAACAAAGAAGATGATGTAATTCATCTTCTTTCTAATTGTGTAAGAAGTAAATGAAAATGTAGAATAAAATAAGAAAGAGAAAGATGTGGATGAACAATATGATGGACATGTGGGAAATAGAAGAGAGAGAAAAAATAATACGAAGAATGAGTTCATAGAAAAAGATCAAAAATGTCGATTTAACAACAGCAAACCTTGGCACATGATCTTTTGACGGTGACAGTTTTCTTTCTGATGACTTTGCAACATGGTTTGCAGCAGCACACAGTTTTACGTACACAACAACATGGACCACAGCAGCAATCACAGCATGGATCACAACAACAATCACAGCAAGGATCACAGCAAGAGCAACAACAAGGATCACAGCATGAGCTACAACATGATTTACAGCAGGAACCACAACCACAGCCGCAACCACATCCACAACCGCAACCGCATCCACATCCACAGCCTGGCATATTAATAGTAATAATGTAGTATAAAATAAAATTAGAGTACGATAAGAACTGGTTTGTGAAACTATGAGAAAAGATGTATGTATATATATAGAGGTAGAGTAACGAACAATATTGTTTTCAGTCAACAAAACAATTAACTGTTGTCCTCACATGACAATAACTTAGATACACATGTGATAGAAAAATATATAGGAAAACATAAGTAGCAATTTGTCACTATTCATGCAATACAACAAAAATATGAAATTCACACTTATTACCAACTTTTTTCCTTTTGATTTGTTTTGATAGTGTCGAAAACATCTAAATTTAATTGCACTTTGATTTTGTGACCACAACTCTAAAAGGGTAAAAGTCATTTCATACACTTTTTTTTCGATGAAAAATATTGATTCTCACGTTCTAGTACAGGCACACATTGTAATATCATCAAATTACGTGAATATCGTAACACAACGCAACATAAGAGAAAGAGCAGTGTGAAAAATATGTAATATATGGATACAATAACAACAACAACAACAACAACAACAACAACAACAACATTGATTTCATGTATGAGTTATCAATGAATGAATGAATGTTTCAACGATACAAAGTTTGTAAAAGTGAATACAATGGTAATTTTATTTCTTTGATTGTTTCTGATTCTGATTGGTGAAGATTAGGTGTGATTGATTAAGCAAAAGTCTTTATTTGACAACTTTGTGATTAACGACAACAATGACGAATTTGCATGGAACGTACTGTCAATATTAAAAATGATCTTTATATGAAATCGTTTAGTCAGCAACACTCTGGTTTAACAATGATGTCCATAATTATATATTTATTTGTCTTCGCATGATTTATTTTTTACTATATTTCTTCATAGAGGGTGTGAGTGTAAAGTAAAGTCATTACTTATTCAGTTCTGTATTGAATTTTTTTCTAGAAACTATACTATTTTTATAATATTGGATTTTTAGGTTTGATTCTTACTTTGTAAGAAGTTGATTGTCAGTATCGCTATATAACAGATGAAAAATATTTTAGTATGTTACCTGCCGTGATTTCTTTATATGATCATTTGCTTGTATGACGAATTTCTTCTCTATCAAAATAATACAATCAAGCAGAAGCTCTTGTCACATATTCAATGAGAGAAAAATAATTTCGATTGAATTAACATTCTTTATATTTGATTATTGAAATATATAATTAAAGAGAAGATTTCCTGATTTTAGTGCGAATTTCAATAAGAAATTTAGTCAAAATTCAAATTAGTAACATATTGTAAATGAATATACACAAGAGTGTTACTGAGAGCAAAAATATCTTGATAGATAGTTGGAAAAAAACAGTAAGAACCATAAAAAATTATAAAAATCGAGATTCACCCACATCGTTGTTGTTTAAGCTACTGGCAATGGAGTCCTATTTTGAGTGGTACGTTTCATGTGAAAGACAATATCGAAGTTGATCCAAGCAACACAGCCAGCTGTCAGATATACCGGTATGTACCAATAATAAAAGCGACCAAGTGATAATAATATTTTCATGATTAATAACGCAGCACAGTAAAGAGCAATACTCGTTTTTGTCATATGAATCAGAGGATTCATTTCAAATACTTTCTATAGTATGATTAATGCCATAGGTTAAGATAAAACCGGACACCATAATGAAACAGCAACCTCGATAAGACTGAGCACCTGATTGGCCAAGAAGATAATCGTACAGGATGAAAATAAAAGCTATACATTGAGAAAACCCAATAGCTGAAAATATGAGAATGAAAAATGGAGCGTAGAAGCTATTGGCTAAAATAAATGTTAACATCATCAACATATGATAGAAAAATCCGCATCGTCGTTCTCGTGCTTGTCTTACAGCGTTGACCCCAATCAATAGATTCACTTTATTTTGATAACATGCATAGAAATGATCGTTGAACAATGGCTTTTCAATATAAGTCTGACAAATAGTACATCTAACTGGCTGTGGGACGCATAATCCTGCTCTCTCACGATGTTCATCCATTTCTAATACCAATACTAACTGATCACATTCCGAACAATGTTGACTAAGGTAATTACATTCGACAATGAATATTCAAGCCATTCAAAACGGACTGAATATCTAGTGGACAATTGTATTTCTCGAAAGGCTCACATCGAAAGGGACATCTTCTATGACTAATGAGAGTTTCAAGCCATGTATGAAGACATTTTTGACAAAAAAGATGTCGACATTTACTACATGCACACGCTTTCCATAAGAGACATTGCATATTGAGTAAAACTACTTACCGTCGACAAGCTGCTCATCAATAATGCGATCTCGATCAATATTCCCTCCTTCCATCGATAAACTTACTGTTTGTCTGGTCACCTTTTTAGAGATGTCTACACACAAGGTAACGATGAATCATTTTAAAAATGACACATTTGGCGTTGGCGGTTGGAAAAAGCCAATATATATGTAATAATCATGAAATATTAATCCTTAGAAGTGAATTAAAAAGATCAAATTACTTTAACAATAATTCTAATACGAAGAAGGAGGTAAAAGACTTTTTTCTATTTTTAATCAAATCAAACAAACACAATGTCATATTCCTTGTTGGTAAGAAATTTAAATCAACATCTCTTTCATTCCTGTGGATATGAGTAATCCGTTAGAAATTATCAGTATCGTTAAATATACTTTGTATCGCATTTCGTCTGGGATAAAATATGATTATTCTCTTGTTGGAGAAAACCAACATAAAGGTATCTGTGTTTCATGTAACAATATTATAATATACATTATTTGACATCAGATTAAATTTCTAAATAAATCTCATTATATTCCGTCTTATAAATAGGGTAGCTTGTACAATATGTATTGCTAAAACATCGAACAAGAAAACAAGCAATGGCATCTGTAATATTTCTGGCTTTATTCACACTCAGCTTTACTCTGGAAGTCTCTGGTTTGAAACTTCATCAATGCCCGCAAGGGTTCTTTTGTCCCAGATCTATGCGACGCTCAAGTTTTGGAGATGATAGTTATGAAATGCCACGTCCATGCCCACGTGGTACATGGAGTGGCGCTGGAGCAGTGAAGTGCACGGAGTGCGCAGAAGGCTACTACACATGGGATGAAGCATCTTCTTACTGCGATCGATGTGAAGCTGGATATATGTGTTCTGCACCGGACGCTGATCCTGAGCCATGTCCCTTAGGAACTTACAGCGCCGAACCAGCTCAGACATGCTGTACAGTGTGTAAGAGTGGAACTTACACTCCACGACTAGCATCAACTAGTTGTAAACGATGTCTTCCGGGAACATACTGCATAGAAAATAAAATCAAGCTCGCCTGCACAAAAGATACAGGTACGTCATAACTATGTGCTACTTCAAAAAATAGCTTACTATTCATCTTTTGATGTTTAGTTTTCTAAAGCTCTGTTTGTGAAATGTCATTTTTTCTAAAAAAGTACTAGCAATCTTTTCAGCTAGATGTAAAGAAAGGGGCATCCGAAATAGTCAACAATTAAGAAGCTAACTCGAAAGTCAATGAATCTCGAAGGAGACATTTGTTTACTCATATTAAAAATTGATAATAAGCAGTGACGAGTCAGGACGTATCTCAATTAGGTTTACTCTTATAAAAAGCATAGCAAATAGACAGTTTTAAACAATATAATTCTACAATTTACCAAACATTGCTAACCTCTGAACGTTTTTAATTCAATTTTTTAATTATTAGAAACCACAACTACTGTGTCCACATCGACGGTGACGAAAATTGATGCATGCATGGATCCCACGCGCTGTTTAAATGGAGTAAGCCTATCATCGTAGTCTTTCGGCTTTATCTTTATATTTCTGTAGGGTACATGTAAATCGAATGGCACAACCAGTTTCATCTGCATTTGTCCTGACACATATCACGGTGAAAGATGCGAAAAAACAACTGATGAGCAGACAATCTTGGAAGTGTTCACTCGAAATAATTGGACAGATGTTCTAGCTGTCATTGATGTGATGGGCTCTATGCATCCATGTGCTGCAACTGTATCACAATGGATGTCTTTGGCTCATGAGAAAACAAATATAAAGACTTATGTTTTTTTCAACGATGGTGATTCAAAAGCTGACAAATACAAAGTGATCGGTTCAACAGGCGGTATCTACGCCACTGATTCGACAAATCTATCTGTTGTTCGCACTGTCATGGAAACTGCCATGCGTATGGGAGGTGGAGGTGATGGCCCTGAGAACGATATTGAAGCACTATTGTATGGTATTAAACGATGCCCTACATGCCAAAATGTCATTCATATTGCCGACAATCAAGTAACTCCACGAGATCTTATTCTCCTTGCAAATATAACGATGCCAATCAAGGTTATTCCCTGCCAAGTGCATCCAGCGGGTGGTGTTAATCCAGCATTGCTAAACGTTGCAGATAAGACGGGTGGATCACTGCATACCATTGAACAAGATATTATCTATCTGTCAGGTATTGCTGTTGGAGAAACCACTGATATTGGTCATTATGTTTATCGTCGAACAAATAACGGCTTTATTCGTATATAAGAACGGATTTTTTTTCATTTGTATTATATTATTCCTGATAAAGGAGAAAGAACTTAACAGAATATAGCAAGTGCTTTAATTACTGTTGAGTTTTGTATTCGAGAATAAATTGTCTATTTTCTATATTTGTAAAAAAATATCTTGAGGATGTGGGTGTGAATCTGAAATGATGTCCCTATCCACACCCTCAAGATGCTTGAACATTCTTACGATTTCAAGAATTAAAAGTAATCGTAAAATATATTCAAGAAAAATAAATGAAAAAATTCTATTAAATATAAAAATTTCTCAAGTGCTTTCATATATTTGATATAACGTAAGTATGTCATTTTTTATTATTTTTTTAAAAGTAATTAATTGCAGTCATTACAATATTTTTTACCTTTAGCTGTTATGCTATCGGTGTGTATGTAACCATACACACACATGTATATGCATATGAAATAACCAGCACATGGTTAAATAAATTGCAAAATAAGTCAACCGTGATAGTCACTTACATATACATACATTCTTTTTCAAAGTAATCATACTATTCGAATAGAATATTGTATGGTGTAAACTATATACAACCAATTTTTTTTCTCAAAATGAAAACAAATAATGAAAATGAAGAAGATGAAAAAGATATACGTCTTCTTAAAGAAATGGGTTATACACAAGAACTTTATCGTGGCTTTTCTCCATTTATGTCATTTACATTTTGTTTCGCAGCTATTAATGTTTTAACATCAATTTCATTGGGTTTTAATTATACATTAAATACTGGAGGATCAAGTGTAGCAATTTGGTCTTGGATAATTGGATCTTTTTTTACTGTACTTGTCGGTTGTTCTTTAGCTGAAATTTGTTCAGTTTATCCAAGTGCTGGATCAGTTTATCACTGGTAAAATATTCTCTTTTTTTTTTGTTATTAGGATAAAAATTTCCTTCTTTAATTAGGGCTGGTCAACTTGTTCCAGCTCATAATGCTCCATTAGCATCATTTATTTGTGGATGGTTCAATTTTATCGGAAATGCTTCTGGTAAATAAATATCAATATCGTTTTTCTTTTCTTACATATTTTTCTTTCGTATTATCGAATAGGAGACGTAGTATATTCGTCTGGTTTTGCTTCTATCATAAGTGCTATAATTGTTCTCAATGGTAAACCTCCATTAAGTATTTCTGTTCAAGTAATCATAAGTATTGGAACTGTATTAACATGGTGTGTTATAAATGCACTTCGTATTGATCAACAAGGATGGTTAAATACATTAGCTACGTTTTCTCAAATATTTGGCATATTGATTTTTGTTAGTGTCTTATTTATTATGATTCCTCAGCATGCAACTGTTCATGATGTTTTCTTGTCTACATATAATAGTACCGGTTTTCCATTTATTTATGTATGTTGTATTAGTATACTTTCAACTCTATTCTCATTTTCTGGTTATGAAGGTAATACATTTTTGAAATAAAAAATATGAAGATTAAATTATAAATATATTCTAGCTGGTGCTCATTTAGCAGAAGAAACAAAACATGCTAGCCGAGCAGGTAAAATAACATGGATAGAATTTTTTCTTTATAAAATAAATATATTTAATTATCGTAGTTCCAAGATCATTGGTTGGTACATGTTTATGTGGTGCTATTGTTGGATTTATTTATTTACTTGCACTTCTTTTTGCTATACCCAATGTTGATAAATTTCTTAAAGATAATAAGGAAAATGATGATTCAATGAGTTTAATTATCGCTACATATCGAGGAGTGATACCAAATCGTATAGCAACGATGTTGACGACTCTTCTCGTTCTTAATCTTTATTTTGGTGGTATATCATCTATTACAGTTACTAGTCGAATTTTGTATATAACAATTATTTTAATTTTCTCTCATTTTTATTTTCATATTGTAGTTTTTCCATGGCTCGTGATGGTGCATTTCCATATTCACATTATTTACGTTGGATATATGAAGGAACACAAATTCCGATGGGTACACTTATATTCATATGTGTTATTCATTCTACACTTCTTTCATTTCAATTAATATCAACAACAGCTGTTACTGCTTTTCTATCAATATCAACATTTTGTTTGCAAATATCTTATTTAATACCAATTCTATTTCGTTGTACAATATCACGAAAAATATTTCCATTAGGAGAATATAATTTTGGTCAATTTGGTGTACCTATTGCAATTATTTCTTCTATATGGTTAATAATTACATCGTTTTTTATGATTCTTCCAAATCAATATCCTATAACATCCGATAATATGAATTATTCTATTTTTATTACTAGTGGAGTTCTATTCATAGCTGGAATATATTGGTTTGTTTCAGCTCGTCATTGGTTTATTGGTCCTAAACGAACGGATTCAGATACAATTCCATTACTACCAGGACATGTAACAAACGAAAATATTCCAATGCAAGGAATTTCATCTGAAAAAAACAAATCTACTTCATATGAATAAACAATAGTAAATTGTCTGTGCATTTGTTCATCTTATGATTTTGTATCTCAAACGTTATATATTTAAAAATATGATCTTTGTCTTTAATCGAATTACATAGAGAAGTCAATTTTTCGAGATAAACCATCTTTGTGGGTGTGGGATATGGGGGTGTGTATTCTTCTTCATATAAACAACTGAACGAGCAGATGTAGGTCAAATTGAATAGTCGTAATCCAATAACAAAACGATAAAATCATATTTCTTTTATATTCAAAATATTTAATTAAAATATGCATGATGGTGAATTAATAGTGGTCAAATATACCTAGTTACAACGTTTGTAAGCATGATATAAAAATACTAACAAATTTTGTGATTGATTTTCTTTTCTTTCTTAAGAAAATCATCTTCAATTTATTGATTAATTATGAACAAGAATATTTACAAAAAATAATTATATATCAGTCAATCATCCTCGACTGCCACACCAATCGCAGCATGATTTTTTATCCACATATGTTTTAAGTTGTACACCCATAATGATAACCATTTGAAAGGAATTTTCTAAAATATTTTCTGCTATGTAATGAAAAAGAATTAAGATAATGAATAACTCACTTGTTTTTTAATATTTATCATAGAATCATAACCCACAATATTTGTGTCATAATAAAGCCAAAAAGAAAGGAAAATACCAACTATGATTCCAAGAATTGCCAAACAAATATCATAAATTTGACTGGCGTAAGACTTCTATTTATGTCAAAGAAACAAGTTATATTTCAGTCCATATGACAAAAAAGAAAACATACTGAGACAAGATCATTGTAAGTAAGAGAAAGCAAACAAGCAGCAAATACGAATGGTATCACAGCTGGAAACCAGTCATCATTTGTTTTGATAAACCTTATCTAGTTGACGAATCACACAATTCACATTTTAATTTCGATAAATAATATACTCACCCTATTTGCTCTCGTCGAACTTGGATCGACTGGTAGATATTTAGGCCAGCCAAAATATCGAATATTGAGTGAAATCATAAAGAACATCACGAAGAGCCATACGAAACTTGCGCTAATATTCTTCATAGTCTGAAAATACGATATATGAATATATAGAAAATTTTATTTTTGATGAAAATCTGTAGGAAACTTACATAGGACTTGTGAATGCAATCGAAGATAGGTCTGCTGCACATCAAAATCGATGAGATACACATAATAGGTAAAAATCGATATTCCACTGTAATGATGTTTCTCTAAAAGATCAGCGGGTTTTTATTTTTAATGTTGTTTTACATAAAAGATTCATCTCATAGATAGCTATTCTTAAAATTAACTGTTAAGTTCGGATATGTTTGTTTAATTCTTACGTTTGTTGTTACAGGTTGCTGTATGATGGTTGCAAAACGATCAGAAATGACATTATCAGAGTCTTTCACAATACACATGATGCTACGTAAGATATCAATCTTCTCACACTTATATATATGTGTTGCAAACAATGTCCGTCGCTCGAGCATAGATGTTATGCTAGAAAGAAAGGTCACGAAGTCATATAGAGGTCAAAAGAGGGTGCGAGTGTAGATAAATGATATCAACATTTGCATTCTAACTATCACCTATACATACACACCGTCAATAACGATAAACTAATTATTGATTTCATAGAAGAATTTAAAGCCACTTTGTTAGACATTATGATGACATATTTTTAATCATTGATGCTATTGATTCGTTTGAATTTTAACGTTATATTCTATTACATGATATGTCAAATTTTAGTTTTATAATATTTCTTTTATACTTATTGTTAATAACAATACGCCATTCTATCTTTTGTTTGCAAGACATTTTGCTTCATGCTAGTTATATAAATGCTGGTCAAATACATTTAATAAGTGGGTCAGTTAGAGCTCAATCGAAATAAGATATGCTCTATTCACTTTTACTTGTGTCAATTAGCTACTAATTCTAAAATATCTCGAACATCTATTTCTTCATTGTATGAAAATTATGAACGTATGTTATCTAATATTGCTTAGATTACGACATCTTCTGTAAAATTTACTCCGCTTATTTCCATTACTGATCGTATTTCTCTTAAATCTATTATTACAACATCATTTACCAATCGAATTACTCCTGAATCACAAGATATATGTTGGGTGTGGGTGTGACTGTAAATATTGTATTTTGTGGTAATCAACATCTACACCCACACCCACACCCACCCGTCAACTTCATACGTTTGGAAGAATATTTTACTTTTGGCTTTTTCATCAGGCAAAACTTGAAAAACAACAAAACTGGATGAATAACGCAAACGAATGCCGACGATTCATCTTACCCTTCGATGTGTTAACGCATGTGTGAAGGAAAAAAAAAGCAAAAAACATACACTTTTACAGTGAGTAAATCAACTTACCAGAGTGCCAACACGATGCTTTCTCTTGTTTTCTTTTTTTTTCTTTCGATACCGATAAAATCTTTCCCACTCACTCACTCACTCACTCGCGCGCACAACAAATAATACGAACGCCATTTAATCTATGCGAGAGCAATTCTCTTATTCAGACTTCATTTTTTCTTCAATCTTAACTTTTCTCAATACAGAATATTCGTGACATTATAATCTCATAGTTTGTCTTTGAACAAATTCGAGTCTGTTATATCCAATTTCTTTCAGATTTTCATTATTCATTTACGATGTCTACGACGCCAAACAATAATAATCGATTTTTTAATCGTATAGCAAATACTTATATTCATAGTGATTCAATCAATGAGACAAGTAGAACACCTGCTCCTGCCGGTGATGGCAGTGGTCCGTCATCAACATGGGTTGATTCATTAATACAACTTGATCGTGTATTTTCTGGTACTCTACTTCGTTTATGCTATAATCTCATTGATATTGTTCTTCTATCTCTTGGTCTTTATTATGGTGCAAGGATCTGTGGCAACTCCAATGCTCTCGCGGTGATATCCATTCTTATACTTGTTTTTAGCAGTCTCGGACTGGCTTGTACCCTTCTGTTTCTCATACGAAACTGGTCTTTGCGCCATAGGACTTTATCTGATGAGTCAAGTTCAAGTCGATACCGTCAAGGATATGTCCTACGGGCTTTTTTTCACTTTCTTAGATTTATATGCATTTGTGTCGGTACGGGCTATGTATTCACATCAAAAATACAGGCCAGTAACCAATGTGAGATTCTTCGATTCTACCTTGGTACTGTATGTTTCAATACATGGGTTTTATTTTTTATTTCGCCACCAAAACCTTCTCTTCCCAAACGACAATCATTAATCTCAGAATGCTTTATACTCTTCGTATCAATTATTTTCAATAGTATTTTCTTTGGTGTTGTGGCATCTGCTATGATTAAAACCCATGCATCGGAATGTATATATACTCGTATCGAAGATCTTTATTTTAATGTACCACTAAAATCATTTGCTTACGTTGGGCTTATTTTAATTGCTTCTAACATTGGGTTCAGTATACTTACTGCTATTCTCAATCAACTATTTTATCGATTGCCAAATTTTCGAAGAATTTTAGTTCATTTATCAGCTGTTCATTATGTAGTATTTTATTTAAAAACGGTCGTTATTGTCTATTATTTTTCCGTTGGAGCTGTTCTTCTATTTCGACCTCGTTCAGGTGGATCGTGTCGTGCCGTAGCTCCCGATCTTTACAAAACTCTTTTGATATGGGAATTAATTCGTGTTTTTTTGCCACTTATTATCTGGCCGCTTGCATTTCTTGTTTGTTGCCTTGGCGTTGCATTTGGAGGTTGCCTTGCACTATGTTTCCCGGCATCGATTGGTGTTCCACTTCTCGAAATGATTCAGGTATATGTTGTTTTAAACATTCGAATTTTGACCCTTACTTTTTCTGTTAGGAAAGATTACCGAATGTTCCTGGTGCAAACAACCCAGATCCTCCGGCATCACCTGGTAGTATTGAAACTTTACCAATGGTAGTTTTTGGTGAAGAGTCTGATGAATTCAATCAAACTCAATGGTTAGTAAAATACACATAAACGATTTTTCGATAACAATCTTTCGTTTATACTCTTTCAGTGCCATTTGTCAAACAGATTACGAGGCCAATGAAGAAATCAAAAGATTGCCGTGTGGCCATTTGTTCCATCCGCCTTGTGTAGCCAATTGGCTTGCAAGGACTCGTATCTGTCCAGTATGCCGCCAGCGTATCACACCTGTGACCCTGTAGAAAACTTTTATTTGCGCCTGTATGCATTCGTTTAACCTTGATTATTCTTTGTATTTGAAAGAAATCTAATTAATTTTGTTCTCTTTAAACTTTTTTTATTCACGATTAAAATGAACAGGCATCATTTGAAACTTCTCTATCTAAATCTTGAGGGTGTGGGCGTGTATATGTGTGCGAATACTATGTTCTACATGGATTACACCCACACCCGCACTCTCAAGATGATAAAGCACTTTATCAAAATTCTATCGAGTATGAATTACTTATATTACAGTTTTTATAAAGTAGTCTTCGATCGATAGCAATAATATGAATATTTTGCGTTATACGTGCATATTTCATTTGTTAAACTATCAAATCGGAAGTATGTTTTTTTATTTAAATAAATATTTGGATTCTACATTGTACCTGAAATAATTTTGTTCGTTCCATTGTTTTTCTTGTAGTTATAGAAAATCAGTATTTTCTTTATAATATATTATTCAAAGAAACTTTTTCTCGCTTATCTTATTGCAGTGACGGAACATTTCTATCTCATTTATAAATAATAAATTAAATAAATTTTCTTTCTTATTTTTTTATACCACTTTTGTAATTCAGAAATATATTTTTCTACTTTTCCCTATTGGTCTCCTTCTATGATTGAGAAACACTCAATATATACTCTCTAACAACGGGCATCAAACAATTAATATTTGATCTCAGTAGTCGTTAGCAATTGTGAATTATGATTCCTGCTCTATGAAAAGGATTCACTCATAATAGGGATCGCACTAGATATAAGAATAAGAGACTATTTGAAATGTTATCAATGATAATGAGGTGGACATGATGAATGTTACAACAAATTCCTTATGTATTTTCTACAAGGTACAAATTAGAGTTAATTGAATAAAAGTAAATCAACTCATCTAAAATCCAGATCGGTACTCGAAATGATTGATTCAGGCGAAATCTTTATATTAGTTTATATTTTATTTATTTTCATATTAGAAAAAGAATATTGGAGATCAACATTGCAATGGCAAACATTTTTCTGCTGATGATATACTTTATAGTTTATCCATTGACATTACAACAGCAATATAATTTGTTTCAATCATCTATTCATTTAACTCAATTCGGTACTCGTTTTCAACCACAAGATCCTATTGAACTGTTAAATATTTTTTCAAGCGTTTCATCGTTACTTCGATGTTCAATGTTATGTAATCAAAATCGTCAATGTCGTACATTTGATTATGACCGATCATCATCAGTATGCCGTTTATTCCAAAGTGAATATTCAACTGGAATAATTCTTACTAATTCAAGTTCAGTGACATCAAGAATAGGTGCAATACTTTATAATACAACAGCTACTTCACAATTTTATTCAGCTTATAATCAAACATGTGATCAATGCAGTACTGGTGGTAATCGATATCTTGAATGTATAAATAATACATGTCAATGTCCATTATATACCTATTGGACTGGTCAAAAGTGTTCGAATCAATTGTATAATGGAGAGAATTGTACTTCAATGCTAGCTTGTCGACAAGATTTGAATCTTACTTGTAATACTCAAACAAATACATGTACTACAGGTAATAATCGTCAATATCATTTCTTTATACTCTTGATCTAAATCACAGACTTTAACCACGTGGTAATTTGAGTAGAGATGTAGCAGTCTGGCATTTGATATTAAGATTTACCTTGTGAGCTTTATATTTTTTAAGCAACAGTTTAAAGAGGCTGGCTTTTTCGAGAAATTTTAAATGTACAGTAAATCTTTTTATCTTCTATTAGAATGTTATTGTTTATTCTGTTTTATAGACATAGTATGTAATACATGTGGACTTCAACAACCACCTATTATTTATAATATCAATGCGGGTCCACAATCGGTCATTTCTGCTGATTTCAATAAAGATGGACATTGGGATTTGGCAATCACTGATTATTCTACAAATTCTATCTCAATACTTTTGGGTATTGGTAATGGTTCGTTTCAACAGCCTGCAATGGTCTATGGATCTGGTGGCACTAATCCTTATGGACTTGTTTCTGAAGATTTTAATAAGGATGGAAATCTCGATTTGGCTATGTGTAATGAAGGATCCGGTAATATCGCTATTTTTTTGGGTTATGGCAACGGATCTTTTCAAACGGCTGCAACTCTTGGCAGCGGAGGGACACTTCCATCGGGAATCGTTGCTGCTGATTTTAATAATGATAACATAACTGACTTAGCTGTCACAAATACAGGTTCGGATTACATCACCATTTTTCTCGGTTATATTAATGGTGGATTTCAAATACCTGGAACATCATATGCAGCTTCTTCACATCCTTCACTTTTAATTAGTGGAGACTTCAATTCCGATGGTAGGATTGATCTTGCCGTGGTATGTCGGGGTAACAATCAACTACTCATCTTTCTTGGGTTTGGTAATGGATTTTTCCAAAACAATGCAACGTATACAACAGGAACTGCTCCCTATTCAGTTAGAACGTCTGATTTCAATGGCGACTCAAAACTTGATCTAGCTGTTGCCAATTATGGTTCCAACTCGGTTAGTATTTTTATCGGCACTGGTACAGGTGGATTTATTGCAGCTAGTCCTGCAACATACTCTACAACTAGTTCTAGCCCTATTGATATAGCTATACAAGATCTAAACGGAGATTCAAAGATGGATCTGGCTGTGTGTAATCAAGTGGGAAATACGATTATTGTTTTTTTAGGAAATGGAAATGATACTTTTAGACAAGGGCAAAACTATTCATCGATGGGACAACAACTTCAGTCAATTATAGCTCAAGATTTTAACAAGGATGGAAAATACGATTTGGCTGTGACCAATCAGAATAGTAACAACCTAGCCATTTTACTAACACAATGTGTCTAATACTAATTATGCTTTCGAATTGATGCAAATTGATTCAAGTGAACATTTTTCTTTTATGAACTCTATTACAACACTTTTAATGTTATATATTCATTTTTATTCAAGCTATCACTAATAATTTATTCACTGACTTTGGTTTTCTCCCAAGAGTGTAACTTCATGTACATTACACTATAATCAAATAAATTCTATTAAAATAAATTCAATTGTCTATTTTGACGTTTACAGTTAGCCAAGTTCGATATTATTCACAACATAGAGCTGCACAATTTTTCAAAATCGTTTTCTATTTCCTTCTGTTATTCGATATAATTCATAAGAGAATTTTAAAAAAATGAATCCTAGAACTCTCTCAAGAATTCTTGAGCACCTCAGTTTTATTCCATTTTGTATTGTTGTACAAATTTATTATAGATAATAATAGCTACCAATGCATGCGAGTAAATGACAAACAGAGAAAGAACATCTATTCATTGCCTTTATAAGTCACCATAATTCATTAAATATAAGGATACGATTTAGACATAGACTATTTTCGAATAATCACGAAATATCATGTACTACAGTGGACAGCCATCATATAAATAATATATGTAAAGGAAAGAGTATTGTGCAGTAACTAACTTAAAGTATCGAACGATTCATTATAACAGAATCTTGAGCGTGTGGGTGTTGCTGTGGATCTGACTACGAATAAAGAAGAGATAGTCACATACACTCTCACGCACCCCTTAGAGAGCCAGGTGATGATGTGTATAATTCAAATAAATAATCATTAGAACAATTCTTCTTTCATATGTACTATTTTGTACAAAAAGTAATATTTTTACCAAATAATTTGTTAAATAATAATATGATGATCGATCGAAGGGGGTCTATTGAATGTAAATTATCTGTGAATATTCAGAGAGAAAAGTGTTGCTACCATTCTGCACGTTTTGCATGACTGCAACATGTATTTGATCGAAGGAGATTTTTTTAAAGTTAAAATTGTAATTTATTTTAAAACAGGTTTAGATAACAATAAAATGAAAAGCTATATTTACAATTCACATTTATTTGCTTCATCACCAGTTGCTGGAATATCACTGCTAGGTAGTGATTGTTGTTCTGGATAAAGTTTCGCCATAATTGGTGTAACGACATTTTCAATGATTTTCTTTTGTGTTTCAAAGTCATTGACTTGAGCAGTTGCTTGATTTTCATCGAGCCATTTGATTTTTTCATCAATTTCTTTTTCAATTGTGAATTTTTCTTCCGATGATAATTTACCCCCGGATTTATCTTTATCAGCTATTTCGATTTTTAATGAATATACATATGATTCAAGTTCATTTTTAGCATCAACACGATATTTAACTTTTTTATCCTCTTCAGCAAATCGTTCTGAATCTTTTATCATACGTTCAAGTTCATCTGATGATAAACGATTTGAATTGGAATTAATAACAAGATTCTTTTTATTTCGTGTTCCT